ATTAACTTTAAATTAACCCATTAGTTGTTTTCATATAATGAGCGATTTGATAAAAATGCCACAACGATATTAAAATCAAATTAAACCACAAATACATATGGTTATCAGTCAACTATGTACAATTAGATTGTCATTCATTGAAAGAATATAAAGTAAATGAGTTTAAAGAAATTTTTAAATTCAAATATTTATAAAATAAGTTCATACTTAGTTTTATCAACTTAGTATGGCCTCAATCAAGATATTATTCCTGTACACTGCATGTCTGATATTACTTGTGGTTCCTGCAAATGCTAAAGTAAGTACCAAATTTAAATTTACTTTAATAGTGTTCTAACTTAAAAAAATATATTAAATTAACTTTTCATTAAATTGCTTTTAGATATATCTATGTATACATATGTTTGTTAACATGTTTGAAGGTTTAAGGACATTTTGATATATCTTAAATAACTTTTAAACCATGATTTTTTTAATTTGAAAATTTTAAACTCATATAATAAGTAGAGCTTAATATGTTCATCATCTAATGTATACTATTTTTTTACTTTTCAAATATTCGTCAAAACATGGTTATGAGGTTGATAACATTCCCACCTCGAAAATAATAGACATTTTTAAAAATAGATAAAACTACAACGTAGACTTTAGTATGACTCACACATTCAAAGCCCAAGAGGCCATAAATGATATTAAAAACGCAATCTTACTTCTTCGCTGCTGACAAAAAAGATCAAGTACAAACGAGTTGAAACTTATAATTCTAAATTTAATTAATTTGACTGCCTCCGTAGGAAATGTAAATAGGTACTATTTAAAAACATAAATAACATTAAAAAAGTAAAATATAAAAATCAAGTTTGGAAACCGTTTCGCTAATGATTCAAACCTTGTCTGAAATCGATTTATAGTTCTAATATTGGTTTAAAATTCTACGTTTTCTTCAAATCTTTAAAATGTTTATATTCTTTATGCACTTTTTAGTATTAAAATACTTATGCTTGTCTATTTTATTATACCTAGCACATGGTTTTGTTACTTAAGTCATTTGTCTTAAGTATTACTATTTAGATATATAATAACTGCATTCAATGAATTTCTGGCATGGTTATACTAGCCATTTTAACAATTTGTATTCAAACAATTAACTTAAGATACTAAACAACAAAATATTACCCTAGCAAAGTAATTTACATAATTTGTTAATCATAGACCTATTTGTTAGACCATTGTATGTATTTATGTCTGTAGATACATATGTATGTACATATATGTGATGTTTCGATATTTATATTTAATATATTACAAATTATTTTTTGTAGAAGAAGTTTGAGTTGACATTCTTGAACTTTACATGTACGAATCCCTTGGCTAAAGAGAAGAACACTCCAGTTACCACTTATCATTGTGGTCTTAGTAAAAATCTAAAACGTCGTACACTGCATTTAGAGATGACTTTTGGAAAAGACATCCAATATTTTGATCTTAGCTTAAGTGTTGTATTACCACGTCGAACAAACGATTTTGTGTTGCTTAACCTAACAAAAATGAACGGCTGTCACATGTTATCAAACAAAAATCAAATTCCATTGTTACAACTAAGTCGAAAAATTCTGGATCATTATTCAAACCTTCCAAAACAATGTCCCCTGCGTGCTAATATTATTTATTACATACGTGGATTTCGCCTTGATATCGATCTTTTTCCAGCATTCACATTTGAAAATGACATGAATGCAAAATTTGAGTATATAATTGATAAAAAAGTTGCGCTTGAAGGTTTCATCAATACACATGTTGGACTTAAGGGGAGTTCCTAAGGTGTAGAAATTTGACAAAAGTATTTCTAAGTAAAAAAGGATCAATATTTGTATGTACATTTAAGTTTTATTATTATTAAATATTTTTAAAAAAGTTTTTACACCATAAACCACGACACACAGTGGGGTGAAGTGGCCAATAATGCAAAAGTAACCGTTAATTAAAAAAGTATTATTTGGATATATAAACAACAACATTAATAGGTAAAATTTTAAATAATATCGGAAAGGGGTTTAAGTTTCACTGATTCAAATTTATAGTTTTAAGTTATTATGTATTTCAATTATTCAAAAAAATTAAAATGTGTGTAAAATTTAAATGGCCAATTTGAAACTTATATTATATATTGGACATCCTCAATGATGGGTACACGACAATGTAAAGCCCTGGAACACAAATGTAGGACAGCCAGAACAAATCGTCAACGACTTTTTCGAACAAATGTCGCGAAAATCGTGGACGATTTAACGAGAGACAGTGTCGCTTAGTCTGTCGTTCACTCAATAACAGTGAAAACTTCGTCTATATATTCACTGACGACATTATACAGGATTAATTCCACCACTTTATCGTCAACGATTAAATGGATGACGATGTCGTTGACGAATATAAAGGCGACAATGTCGTCAACGATTATATGGATGACAATATCGTCTACTTTATCTACTACTTTAATAAACGACAAATAATTTTACAAGTTAAAGTGCTATGTTTGGCTATGGCGAATCATAAATACCCTCCACCCATACCCATCGCAAAAATATCAAAATTTTTCTATGCATTCATATTTTTTTACGAACAAAAATTCGTAAATAAGTATACATACACTACGTCCCTAAAGTCTACAAACGATTTTAATTTTAGGTATTTTTCTGTGTATTAAAGGAAAATAAAAAATCCTTTGCATTATTGTAAATTTTATAATTTGAGAAATATAAATCACAAGAAATCGTTTTTCAACTTTAATAAATAAAATATTTTTAAAAGAAAAATCAATTTTTTTCATGTTTTGAATTTCACAAAAATCTACAAACGATGGATGTAAATGTTTAATAAAATAAGCGTCGAAATGGTCGTTTTTGGTTATATATTCTGTGTTAGTATATTCGATATTACATATGGGAAATTCTTTTTTTTGTTTTAGATATTAAGAAATCAACTTTATGCATTAAATATTTTTTTCATTTAATATTTTGAAAATTAAGTGATGACGAATTTTTATTCACAAGACTTGAAAGAATAAGTCCATAAAATTTGTGGTCGAGAGTAGTTCCATGTTGAAGAAATAAACACTCAAAATTAAAATTTCTCAAAAATGTGATTGAAACCAAGTAGTTTTTTTTACAACTTTTTGATATTATGAGGGCGGCTTACAACTTAGAAAGTCAATTTTGCTAATGTAAGCTGTATACACTTGTTGAATGACTATAGTCCATATTTAATTGTTGTGCCATTTTAAATTTGAAACCAAATTTATACAATTTTACAATATTTGCAGTTTTTTGGATAGAATATTTGCGGCTCTTCGGTTATGCAAAATGTATAAATGAGAAAAAGTAGACATTGTAATTACGCGTCGTTGTATATCTCCAAAATGTGCTCTAGAAGGTATCACTGCGGGAGAAGCTTAAATATTGGAACAACAAACGTGAAAGTTTTGAAAAAAGGGCTTTTTCGCGAAGCACACAAACATCGTAACTTCATACACCCAAAATATCGCGTGATCGAAATACTTTTAAATTTTACATGTTGAAATCATAAAGCCGCGATAAAATATTAGCATGCAAAGATTTTAGAGCGAATACAAAATAATTGCAAATTTTTCATTTTTTACTTTAGCGAATTTCCGCATTATAAACAAATTTTAAATTCTGAATTTTATCAGTAATCAATCTTTATATGAAAAGAATTGGTTTGCATCAAAAAAAATCAATCAAAGCCTTTCGTGGACTGAATACGCGGGGTTCCTTTCACCACAAAAACCGATGAAGCACACCTAAGCCGCTAATTTAAATTGGGGACATTATACATCAACCGGTAGCTGACAATGATGTTAATACGAAAATCGATAAACCGTTCGAAAACCGTGCATTAATAAAAGTGTAAAAAAGTTCATTCATGAAAATTTATAAATTCTTTACAAAATTTAAATTAACCGAATAGATTTTCATTTTAACGGTTTTTTGCGTTAATAATTCATTTAAATTTAAAAATGATAAAAGCAGTTAATTGTAGATAAGCTTGGATATGTTAACTGCAAAAGAAATTTCATCAAAATTTCTCTTTCGCCGAAAACGCGGTATTTCTTGAGTTACAAGATAATTCGAAGAAGCACACCTAAACCGCTAATTAAAATAGGTAACACTTAACATTAATCGGTAGCTGACATATTTGGGTTAAATTAATTTGTATTTTGGGTCCTTCGTTGTGGATTATATCCACGCTTATATTTTCGAGTTTCAGGTAAAAACGTAATTTTGGGAACTTTTTTAAACTGTTAACTTTAAACCGCTATAACTTTGGCGGCTTTTGCTAAAAATTATTCACGAGAAGATAATTGTACTTCTAAGATGTTAGACAATGTCCACACAAAATATCATTGATGTGCTATTAAGAAAATTTCATCATTTTTTGAACCCCAAAATCTAAATTAAAAAGAGAATTTCCCATATGAACTTTTTATGGATAACTATTTCGATATGTTTGCTCATTAATCTCCTAAAAGGGATAACTGACCACGGATGCATCCTGTGGACTTGTAGCTTCAAATACTGTTCTAAATTTTGAAAGTATTGACCTCTGGATATTTAGGAGAGTGTTTTAGCATTGATCTACCAATTTACATTTATTATTACCTTAGCATCAGAACATTATGTTAAATGTCATTGTCCTGCATAGAGATCAGTTTGGCATTTGGATGCAGTTTTCAGATCCCAGCAAAAAATACTGCTTGCCTGGAAGCAATTTTGTAAGGGAGACTATAATCCGATATCACTTACTGGTGCGCATTATAAGTACATTATTTTTGTTTGAGATGAACCACTTAGAAACAATAGGTTTTGAATCCAAAAAGCGTTTATGTAATAGCAACTAGTTGCACTTATATCATGTATAGAATATATGGGGGGATAGGGTACAAATAATTTTACTTTAAATAATGCAAAAAATATGTTACTCACTTTCCACTTTATTACTTTACCAAATATAAATAAGAAACGATGATAGGGAACTCGATGTACTGTTGTTTTACAATATTGAGTTTTTATTGTTGTTCTTAAATTTGTTTGTATTTGTTTTGGGGTAATACGCTTCTGCCGTCTTTGGTGGTTGCTGATTAACTGAACAAGTGTTAAATTGATCTTTAATAATATCAGTTACATGTACCAATAATAATAAGCAATAATGATTGATAGCGAATTTAAATGTTGAGAGAGAAAAAGAAATAAAAAGAAGAGCGTAAAAAATAACCACCAAAAATTGCATACTTTCCAATACACTTCGGATAATTCAAATAAGGGCAATATGATAAGAATATAAAATTACATTGTAGACTTAAACATGTATTTTATATTTTATTAGATCTGCGCTTTATGTATGCGCTTCATTAATGCTCCTATATAAGGCATTATTGAATGTATTCTGTTTATACATTACTAAAACCCTTTTAATAATACTTTTTTAATGTAATGCATGTTTTTATATTCTTTAATAATTTTGTTTTTTATTATTTTAATATAAAATATCAAAAAAAATATAAATAAAACACAAAAAGTTAAATTAAGAGAATATGTAGCATCCCGCGTCTCCTCAGAAATTTCACTCTTCATATCATTCAGCTCTATATATTTGCTGAAAAATACAAATATATACAAAACTATTCCAGACATATGACTACCGGAATCCTGTTAGAGACCCTTTAGACTACTACTCCCATATAGTGGTATACGTGTGCATTTCCATATTTGTCCAAATTGGACACCAATCCTTAAGAGAATTTTTAAAATTTTTTTTATTGAAATATTGATTTTTTCAAAAATTTTTTAAAAAACTTCCAAAACTTTTCCAGACATATGACTACCTGAATCCTGTTAGGGACCCTTTAGACTACTACTCCCATATAGTGGTATACGTGTGCATTTCCATATTTGTCTAAATTAGACACCCATCCTTTAGAGAATATTAGCATTACTGCTTTAAATATATTGATTTTTTTAAATGTTTAAAAAACTTCGAAAATTATTCCAGAAATATGACTTCTGGAATCCTGTTAGGGACCCTTTAGACTACGCCTCCCATATAGTGGTATACGTGTGCATTTCCATATTTGTCCAAATAGGACACCAATCCTTTAGAGAATTTTTAACATTTTTCTTAATGAAATATTGATTTTTTGAAAATTTTTTTTTTAAAACTTCTAGAAATATGACTCCCGGAATCCTGTTAGGGACCCTTTAGACTACTACTCCCATAGAGTGGTATACGTGTGCATTTCCATATTTGTCCAAATTGGACACCAATCCTTTAGAGACTTTTTAACATTTTTCTTAATGAAATATTGATTTTTTCAAAAATTTGTTTAAAAACTTCCAGAAATATGACTCCCGAAATCCTGTTAGGGACCCTGTACACTACTACTCCCATATAGTGGTATTCGTGTGCATTTCCTTATTTGTATAAATTGGACACCAATCTTTAGAGAATTTTTCACATTTTTCTTATTAAAATATTGATTTTTTAGAGAATTTTTAATTTTTTATTAAAATAAAATTTTTTTAAAAAACTTCCAAAACTATTCCAGAAATATGACTTCCAGAATCCTGTTATGGACCCTTTAGACTATTACTCCCATATAGTGGTATACGTGTGCATTTCCATTTTTGTCCAAATTGGACACCAATCCTTAAGAGAATTTTTAAAATTTTTCTTATTAAAATATTGATTTTTTAGAGAATTTTTAATTTTTTATTAAAATATTGATTTTTTTCAAAAAATATTTCTTTTTATTTTTCATATTTTTTTAAGTTCTGAAATTTTCGTTTTTCATTTCCTGAAAATTTTCTGATAATTTACTTTTAATTTTTCATGTACTTTCTGTTAAATGCTAACATTGCTCTGTTAGCTGCAAAAAGGGCAATGTTAAAAAATGTGTTTTGTGTCTCTGCTAGTTAAATTCGAATTTAACTTCACACACTTAACTAGTTAGAGAGCTATATTCGGCTAAGTCGAATCTTAAATACCCTCCACCAGCTCCTTTTATATTAATACTTATTTAATTGATCAAATATTTGTAGAAAAAGTTTTCTCGTGACTCTGCTACAAATGCAAGATTTATTGAACATTACATACACCATTTTTTTTGGGACATTTTGATAGCGCCCTAAAATATCCTTTAGCGATATTAAATAATTTGCATAAATTTATGTATGTGAAAGTTTTAAGGAAATTCAAATATATTCTTGTACACATATTGTTCATACTAAACTAATTTTAATAAAGATAATGCAAGTAGTTAAAAACGGTTCAAATGATTTTCGGAGCGGACATAGTATGGGAGATCTGACCAATTGTAGACCGATCGTAACAAATTCTTACAGCAATATTTCTGTATATTAAAGGTATATTTCAGTCAAATTTTGTATTTATGTATATCGTTATTTGGTAATAAGTAATATGTGTTTAAGTGCTTTTTGGAAGGGGGCTTGCATAGGAATGATCGCACACATATGTTATGATAGTGAAACAAACTTGAAATAGCGTTTTTGTATACAAAACTAATATTTGTGCCAAATTTTGTAAGGATACCATTATTTGGTAATGAGTAATATATTTTTATGTGATTTTCGGAAGGGCATCTTGTATGAGAGCTACGACCAATTATGAACCGATAGTAAAAAAATTAAAATAACATTGCTGTGTACAAAAGTAATATTTGTGCCAAATTTTGTATGGATATCTTAGTTTTGTAAATAGTAATGTGCGTTCAAGTGTTTTTCTGAAGGGATGCTTGTATGGGAGCTATGACCAATTGTGGACCAATGCGAAAAAATTCCACAATAACACATCTGTATGTAAAAGCAATATTTGTGCTAAATCTTAATTTAGTAAAGAGTTATGTGTGTTTAAGTGCTTTTCTGAAGTGGACCTTGTATGGGAGCTATGACCAATTGTGTACCGATCGAAAAAACAATTTACAATAACATTACTGTATATTTATTTATTTTATTTATTTATTTAAAACAATTTAATTACAATTGAAAATTATAATTAAAATAAAGTATAAAGCACTAGCTGCTTTCAGCTTCATTTCTGTATATAAAAGCAATATTTGTACCAAATCTTGTATGGATATCTTAATTTAGTAATGAGTTATGTGCGTTTAAGTGATTTTCGGGAGGGGACCTTGTATGGGGCCTATGACCAAATATGGACCAATCGTGAATAAATTTTGAAATTATATTTCTGTGTACAAAAGTAACATTTGTGCCAAATTTTGCGTTTAGGTATTTTTCTGAACGGGACTTTGTATGGGAGCTATGACCAGTTGTGGACCGATCCAAAAAAAATTGTACACTATAATATCTGTATACAATAGCAATATTTGTGCCAAATCTTGTATGAATATCTTAATTTAGTAATGGTTTGAATACCGGGCGTAATTTTGGACCAAATGGACTCAATTTTTTCTTGTTAGTTAGACAACAAAATTTCCAATAATATACAAAAAATTTCAGATCAATATCATTTACAGATCCAAAAATATACGTTTTTTAATTTAAAAATTCAAAAAATTTTAGATTTATGCCGTTTTTTGCCAAAAATGTGTCTTAACTCTTTTATTAATAAAATAAAATTTTCTTTCAGAACATATAACAATTTTATAGTTTTCTAAAAGGTATCTTTACGCAGAACGCTTTGGCGTAAAAAACTTGTCCTATTTTTTGAAAATGTTGCCACTGCGTCCTTCCGAATATGACCTATTTTTTATCAAAACTTCAACTTTGGGCGACATGTTCTAAAATCCCAAAGCTGAGATCAGAAAACTGAAAGCAGTTTTGGAAACCTCAATATGTTTTCAATTTACTCCAAAAGTATTTTCCCAGCCCTGAAAGAAATGTGGACCCTATGGGCAAAAAAGTAAAAAATCCCATTTTTGGGATTTTCATTCCTATTTTTGGGAATTGCGGGATGCCCTTTGACCTTTTCAATTTTTTTTTGCATTTTCTTATTTGAAATGACAAATTTAACAAGCGTTGAAAATTTCATTGAGTTTTGTTCATAAATAAAGATTTTGTCATATATTACATATTTGTTAAATTTCTAAAACTATGATTTATATCAAAATTTTAGTAGGGTCGCAGATAGCTACAACAATTTAGTCCATATTTATCCCTTAATATCATTTTTTAGTTAGATATGGAAATTCTCGACCCTTTAGAAAAAATTTCAAGCCAATATCTCAATTACATTCAAAAATATGTTCATTTAAACCTGTGTCCTTTAATTTCATCTTTTTCATATTTTAGTATTAAGTATGACAGAACATACATTTGGTGTTGAATAAAATATTTGGACAATTTTTAAAAATTATTTAGTTAATTATTTTATTAAAGACTATAACATTGTATATACAATAAAAAAATTATAATTTTATTATGAGCCACGCACAACAACACCTAAATCACCCCACACAAACCACCTTTCCCGCCCACCGAAGCATAAAACACAATTTAATACAATATCATCAGTTAGTATAATAGCTATTTTTATTTGAACTGTTTATCTTAAACATAATACGATTAATTCTTACAACCTACTTATATAGTTAATTCCTAACACTACTTATTTTCTATAAAATAATCTGTCATATCGGTATACATATCCAGAAGGTAATATAAGTCCTTTAAATCTTCCTTGTTTTGAGATGATAGAGTTTCATAACAAATCCATCTTTTTCGCATAGTTGAAAGAACAGGATCAGAAGATAGAAGTAAACTATTAAAAATATCTTCATTCTGTGATTGCCTGGAGCATTTTTTTGAGCAGAATAGTTGAACATGCTTAAAATCTCGATTCCTCGCTTCCTGGGCTTCTTCTGTTAACTCTCCAAGTGGAAGAATATTCGATTCAATTATTATTTGACCATGACACAATACTTTGTGTACTGTTGGTGTTAGTTCCCTCCATGGATACAGAGATACAAGTAATTTAGAAATTT